CACAAGGCCTACCCAGAGCCTATTGAAAAGGCTTTATTGACAGCTACCTTTTTTGTTCCTGAAAACTGGCGATTTTCTACTCCCACTGTCCCAACTCCCGTGTCCGAACAGGTCTCACATCGGCGTGAAGGCCTAGCTAGGGCCCACTGTCGATGACGGTAGGCCTATTCTATGGCTTGGCCCAACCATCATGACCATGGCCTAACCGAAACGTCATTCTTTTTACTGTGTCACTTACGATCAAAGATTATATAGCGCCGCGTAGCGGCGCAAGATGGGACATTCTGCCATAAAGGTCACGAAGGGCGCCATTCGAGTGTGAACGTTAATGTGTGTGCGAGCCTGTCGCGGCGCCTGCGCCTGCGCATTAACATGCACTGCGCAGGCGTAGTCCAGCCTGAATGGCGCCCATGTGATAACAACGTTTTGCGCGTATTCATGGTGAAATTCCCCATCTTGCGCCGCTACGCGGCGCTATACGATCTTTGCTTACGATGGCACGTGCCATGTTTACATTGCCGGCCAGCTGCATGTTTGGGAGTAGCGATATGGCGGCCGTTGACGTCAACAAGAACGGCCAATGCGCTATCCAGAGTTTATTACAGAGATCAGTGGTGTAGAATACGAAAATGACGCGAACTGGCTATTTATGATGAATACATAAACGCACAGTGAATCGAGGGCGAATTTCAAGAGTTGCACGCTCATGCTCACGTATTCTCTTACACGTCACGCACGCGTGAATCTGCATCTTGCCGCGCCATGTCGGTTTCCACCACGCCGTGCGCAAATATGTTGATTAGACACTGTACTAATAAAATGGATCGCATATGCCGCGTGGTCTAAATATGGCGTCCCCACAGTCGTGTGTAACGTGGCAGATTCCATGACGGTGGCAAGGTTAAAACTTTCATCGTGTATAACTACAAAAACACCACTCTATTTAGAACAGAAAATATAACATACAACTGTAAGCTCACCAGTCAGCTACGACACCTGACCGCGATAGTTTCTTTTGGCACTCGGGCCCAAACAGGGCAGATCTGGGTCGAGATTTTGGTCAGTTTTCCGGCGCCATGCGCATGCTGCATCTGCCCTGCGGGTTTTCGCGGGCGAAATTTAAAGAGGCCGTACTAACACAAGAAGTGATCTAACAACTTGTGACTTCAACTCATTAGACTTGCAAACAACGACTTGTTACCACCTCTGCGGCACGCATGCCCACGAAGATGCCAATCTAGTCAGGGTTCTTGCTTTGATGTTTCAGATCATACAAATTGTTCTACCAGGTTCACATAATTTATCCTCATGAAAAAATAACTAAGACTACTATTGGTATAACTATTGGATTCTTAACTGTAGGTGGGGCGTATACATTAGAATGCCCATAGCCGTATATATGGTGTCCAGCTCAGTGATAATGGCTGGTCTCGTTCAACATAATTATTCATTCATCTTAGTTTACACTTCCTGGCCAACATATATCTTTTGGTCTTACAGTTCCCTTACATACAAAAGCTGCATGTAGTAAATACATTTCCAAGTGCACAAATAAGATTTTTTACTCAAATCAAAGTAAGTGGTTCTCGTAACAATACTGTTAAGTTATATATTCTTTGGTTTATTGTTTATGGTTCAGTGTGGGTAAAAAATACGGGGGAAAGGGAGGGCGTGTTTTCATATTTGCGAGCACGCGCGTCAACTTGAAATTTCTCTAATTCCCGTTTGAGACAGCGTTTCAGATTCGCGCCGATCCAAAACGAAAGATAAGATTTGAATACGGTTCGACGTAATTAGGAGCGACTAGACGTGCCAGGGGATGAAAAGTCGACCCTTGAAGTCATTCAGAACGACTCAGGGATGATTTCGTTTCGGACATAGCTCTAATGTGAGCCGAAATCAACACAATGGTATTTAAATGTATAAACAAGTTGTTTGCCTTATGAGTAATTCCCAAATCCATGACGCGCCAACTTTATACCCGTCTCATGCGTTAGCTATCAATACATGATCATTCCTCCACGGAGTAAATAAAAAGCACATTTTGGAAAACAAACAAATATGAAGTGACAGAGAAGTGTAAGAAATTATGAAATAATGTGATGTAATGCTATTGAGGCCTTTTGTGCTTACGTTTGTGAGTATTGCTGTCACTTTGAGTGTTGTTGAGTTCCGACGTGTTTTAAATTCGCCTGTCTGAAACCAATATTTAATTGGGTCGAACTGAGTCGCTCCTATTTGGTTCGGTGTGCGTCTGGAACACTTGCCTGAACCGGGTGTTAGAAGATCACAGGTATTATCAAACCTTTGGGCCGTGTTTGTTCAACACGGACCTAGATGACGATCAGTAGCGTAAGCTATCCAGCTTTTGGAGGGGAGGGGGTTCAAAACACAAATGCATTTTGGGGCTCATTCGACATGATCCGTCATTGGTTTACAGACACCAAAACTCGCCTAATGGATGGTACGAACCAGCGTAAGGATCACTGATTCGGGATCCAGACACGTGGGAAACAAACAGGCCCGTAGTGTAATTCCTAACCAGAATTAAATGCCATTACTGCGGTGGCGCAATGCTCGTGGACAGGTGGTACGCGCGCGTTACATGCCTCTTCGACCAATAGGGTGTCGTAACTTACCAAATGCACGCGTGCGTCAAGCTAAAGAATTGTGAGTGTGGTGCAACCATAGCTATGGCGTCTAATCGTATTAGTTTATGTACAAGGTATATGCTCTGAGAGAGTTGGCAAACTTCCAACCAGCCTGTTTCTTCTGTCACATATGTTCACTCCCATGCCCTTGTGCACCGCTTAGTTGAGAGTTAGCGCATGCGCACTCGATCACTTTTATACTGTGGATTTCGAGGCAGGCGACGTCGGACATCGTTCCAACACTTCTTTCCACAGATGGAGACCAACATTTATTTTTAACAAAATGCAAACAAATAAAGTTCACGGAGATAACCTGATAAATGAAAATTGATCAGACACAGAATGAACGCAGTTGCACAAAATTTGAAACAAATTCTGAAAAAGTGAATTTTACAAAAAATAAACGAGATCAGATTTGAAAGAAAATACTTCTCCAGTTTATCCAAATAAACGAAATGAAGTGCCGTGTGTAGTAAGTTATTGCGGACTGAATAGGGGTGCTTTGGCGGTGAGGGTGTACTACAAATTGGGCAGATAAACACAGTTTTAGTCTACATATATACTTTATACATCTTTCAAAGCATTATAAGCATGTGAAATACAAACATTCTAACATGACGCATAAAAGTCATACCTTGATATATTAAATTAAGCTAATTTATATTTTATTTACAAGGTTGTGTGCGATTAAATTGTTCATGAGACGTTTCAGGTGCTAGGCATCAGTAATGATGTGTCTCTTGATAATCGTCGTTTCGTCTATCCATTGCACGATTACCTATTTTGTAAATGTACATTCGGTGACATTTATTGTATGTCTGTTTGTTCTGTAATATAGAAACATATATGTTTGCATAAAGTTAACCCTTGACTAGTGACAATTGTTGCCTCAAAATGCACACCTGCCCTAGCATATTTATTGAGGGAGGTACTTGCAGTTACTTGTGGTATTTTTTTACCAGTAATTATTTTTTTTTTCGAGTTTCGATAGCTGTGTTAGATATTAAAAAACATATTAAATCGCTGGTTTTCTTTTAAAGACAGCCACCCATAGTTTATGAACCAATATTTCTTAAGCTTACCAAATAAATGTAATTAATAACGGTAATAAAAACGAGCAAACATGATCTCTGTCGCGACTGTTGACGTCAAATAGTGAATTTAGAATCTGAAAACATTTATTTCGGCAAATTGGGAAAATCGACTATGAATACATCGAAAAGTTAATAATTATGCAAGTAGAGTCAACCAATAACCCCTACATTTAACCTGATACATTTTCAGTCGTTGTGGAAAATGGAGTGAAGATATTAACACCAGGTAAAACGTAAAAAAACAAGCAAATCTCATTTCTTAAAGCGAGCTAGAGGCTCTCTCTCTTGCGATTTATAATTCACTCACATTTTTGTCAGTAACTGTAGTTGCAGCTTAAGTATATATACACATAGAATTCTTCAAACTTTAATTTTCTCACAAATGACTTTTAACTTAGATCGTCTCTTTATTTGGTAGGTCTTTCTTGATTAACAGAATGAATGACATATATTAGACTGAATCCCTTGTTGTTGGTCACGTTGAAAGTTTGGTCTAAATCTTCTTAAGACAGATATGAATAAGAAATGGGAATGAAAACCAGCTGTTTCTAGTCAGTTTCTTCATCTCACCCTTAGAACGACACATCTAATTTGAGTCAACATGAGTTGACTAAAAGCAACTCAGAGGGGAGGGAATCTGGGCACACTGACCCTGCGGCCCAATAACACGACAGATGGAAAGAAAAAAAAAGGTTGCATAGATCCAGCTCATTGTCATTACAAGCATGAGGAAAATACCCAACTGGACGTAAGTAATAACACTAGAAGGCATCATCAGTGCACCAGCTACAAATGTTGAAAAAGCAGCAATAGCGATAGCTGAACCTACCGCAGTCAGTGAGCTCAGGGTCCTATCTTCTCTCAGATTAGACGGTGCTAAGCGATAAGCCACCCCATAATGAATGGTGAAGTCTACCGAAAGACCTATCGCTAGGGTCAAGATAGCTGATTCGAAGATATTAAGGCGCCAGCCAAGCAGCACCAAGGTTCCAACAGTCAGACTGAAAGCACCCGCTATCGACAGCATGGCATACAGTGATATCAGGATATTCCGTGTAGTGAGAAGGAGTACCACACCTGCAATGGCCAGGGACAATCCCATAGATATTGGTGTGTCAGTTGCCAGACTTTTCTGCAGATTGTAGAAGTAGAGTTGCTGGCCACTGCTATGCCACGTGCTTCCAGCATACAACCAGCCCCCTGTGATACCTTCAGGTTTTGTTTTTAGACTTCGATCAAACCACTCATTAATTTCAGTCCAAAACTCGTCAATGGATTTGAAATCCATTGTGTCCATCCTGGAGCTTATCTCATACATCATAAAGCCCTTCACTGAACCGTCTACTTTGCTGAACAAGGGACCAGTAAACGGTAGGCTGTTGCCCGGGCACAGGGATGTTGCCCAATCGCATCTTCGACTCATCTTTACACACTTCTCGAAGAGATCAGCGGGAAATGGAAATATGGTTTGCCCACAGCAAGGACTAGGTATTGCGTCTGTGCCAGCACTACAAGGGGCTGACATTATTTTTCGGAAAGAATCCATAAAACATTCATTGGTTTCTCTCTGTCCGGAAAAGTTCTGCTTATGAAAACTGTGGCAAAACTCTAGTAGCCATTGCTGGGCGTCAGAATGAAATATATTGAAAGTCTCTTCAAGAACCAAACTTCCGGTGTCATCTGGATTCCAATGATCCCCGTTATCGACAGAATCTACTCCAAACACTGCCGAGATAAAGAGCGGATTATTTTCCTCAATGTTGAAATAAAATTTCGACTTGTAAACGCTGTCATATCTCTCAAATAAATTATCGTCTTGAAATACCTGAAACTCTGCTGTAGTGGGTAGCCGTAACTTTGGCGTGATGTACATAGTACAGAAAGCACCCACGCCGACAGAGGCCAAGATCACAATCCACGCATACCTTAGCTTGAGCACTAGTGTCGGCAAGATATAATCGAAAACTCTTCGATACGCCGTAGCAATGATTGAGTGTGCAGCGTAGAGCTTCTGGAGACAACCTTGGCAAGGGTAAGTAAACTTGGCGCACCAATCCTGAAAATGTGAATGAATGACAACGGTGGCTGGTAGCCAAGTCAGAGTGAAGATAAAATTGATGAGAATTGCGGTGCCACCGTACACACCAAAGCATCGCACAGCTGTAATTGAACTGATAAAGCTGGAGTACAGCGCCGAAGCAGTGGTGAAGCTGGTGACAAACATGGTGACCGCAGCATGATTTAAGGTGTTCCGTAGTACTAGGCTTGGAGGCGCAGACGCATAAGCAGATTTCATCTGGCGCCAAATGTCTACATACACAAAAGTATCATCTGCACCGATGCCAATGACCAACACAGCACTTGCTATATTCACAAATGGAAAAAAGGGCAGCCTGAAAATAACCACAAAAGCGAAGTAAGCCATTATCAACGACATCAGCATACTCACAATAGTCATTATGGTGATAATCAGAGATCCTGTGTAAATCCATATGATGACAAACACAAAACCTGCACCCAAGCCCATGTACAATGTATCTGAAAGAAGAAAATCACGGAATAAGGCATATTTAAGCGAACCAAATCCAAGAGCAACCACAACCGTTATTCCATCACTGATGTGTTTACCTTGTAACGCCGACTCATAAATATCACGGGTATAACCGATATATGGTACAAACAGAATAGTAGAGCTGAGATCAAAGTTCCCTGAATTAGCTTGTGCAGCAAAAGTAGCTGGTACCAAATACTGAAAAATAAAATGAATAGCGTGGTCAAAGGCCAAGCATTCTGAGGGAACATCGGGAGGACACACAGAGCTACCGTCCTCACAATACTTAAGAGCTTTCCGCTGGTAGTAAGGAGCGCATTTCTCCAGCAAGATCTTCACATTGGCGACATCTGAGTCTCTAATATCTCGACACGAATCTCGGCCGCTTAGAAGAGCTACATAATTGGCAAGCGATCTACTGTCGGAGCAATGACCGTTAGATTTCCTACAGCAACGGGCTTGCATCTCCGAGTTTCTTCCAATGTGGTTGTCATACTGACTGCAAACAGATTTTAGAGCTTCGCTTGAAAACAGTTTGTTGTAGCCGATAGCTTCAAACACAATCGCTGGTTGACCATAGGATCCCCCTGCAAAGAAAAAAGATCATCAATTGGCTTGTATCGTTTTGCACTCAGGTCAGCATTTACTGTCACTTCAGTAACAAAAAGAATCAAAATTGCCTACCAAACCCGAAATCAAAGTTGCAGAATTGTATGCCAGGTTCGATGTCAGAGTTGTTTGAAGTGACGTCTCTTCTTATTCTTCCAGTCCGGTGGTTAGTCGTTAAATTATCAAATCGTGACGCCTCGTTCATCGAAGTTCTGGAATCATTCCTCGTATGCACTAAGCTGAGTTCGCTATATATGTTGTTAAATGAGAACATTCTCCCACTGATGTCTGTTCCGCGTGCATCGAACCCCTAAAAAAGGAAATACTTGTCACTTACATTGAATATCAAAGGGAATATTTTCGAGAAGATAAATGGTACCTCTGGGGACAGTTTATACCTTTGTGGGCTCACTGAAGTCGGGAAGATCGTACACAAAGAGAGCAATGACGCCACAAACAGCTGTCAATAGGAGTAAGCCAACACACATCCCTGTGGCAACAGGAAACTTCACAAGTTGACGTGAGTACCTGAAGGATAAAACACATTTACATGCTTTACTTTTGCTATTCTCACAACATTCCAACATGTCAATATTGTGTTTATTATTCAAACGCGCGCCCCCTAGTAAAATTGAGTTTTGTGGTGTAGGAGCGGATGGATGGGTGTGGACCTTCAGCACTGAGGCTGTCTAGTGAGGAGCCGCCGGGTTTTGCTTGTCGGGCGGACGTTGCCGTTCCCCTCTGTGAGGGCTGTTTTTCCCCGCCAGCAAGCGATTGGGGCCCTTTATTTCTTACCCCGCACTGCAAACTCCCGGGAACGGCTGGTCCGAGGACAGACTTAGTGGGTAAATTTGACAATGTTTGTATCGAGTATAATTATTGATTTTATACATCTGTATAATTGAAAAATTGTGTAGTTTGGCAGTTTAGGTGAACCTTTAGCCGTGGCAAAATTGGTTTAAGATTTTATGACGATGTAACCATCCTAAGTTGAATGAAAAAAAAATCATCATTTCACACGTTTAGTATCGTGAATCAAGCCTTACTTCTGGATAAAAAATTCAAGGCTGAGAGTTTAAAAGGGGAAAAATGTTGTGTATGTTATAGCATTACAGGGTATCCCATACCCAAATGTGCTACTGGCATGGCTGCTGTCCCAGTTCCCTATGATTCCAATTTTGACCTGACTTTGATGAATGCGGGCCTAAACCATCACCTACTCTCCGATGGTTTGTGCATGCGTAGGGACCAATAAAAAAAACAAACAAACAAACAAACAAACAAACAACCCAACAAACAAACAAACACCCCAACAACCCCAACAACCCAACAAACAAACAGACAAACAAACAAACAAACAAACAAACAAGATTTTGCACCTTGTGATTGGTCAACACGTTGCAAACTCTCGGAAGCGCACTATCGTGAATCGCCCGTATTAAACTGTTTCAATATATGAATTTTTTGCATTAAATATACTTCACAAAAAAGTGCACGCAATTTTGTATTATTGTATATAATTGTATATTCTTGTATTACGTATATAATGCACATTCTTTTATACGATTTGGACAAATGAAAGATTTCAACTGTTTCTAAGATTTCCGTGTTTAAAAGGGTTAAATGTAGCTGAATAAGGTATTTGATAACTAATGTTTATGTAAGTTCGTGCATATTTGTACATGTAATAATTTTACAAGTCGACAAAACTTTAATAAGGAGTCTGAAAAACAATAATAAAAAGGGAAAGAACGCTGTTGAATTGAAATCTGTGCCAGCAATAATGACGCAAAATCAAATATTTGGAAAAGTTGAAAGAATTCCAACTCATTACAATTTCACTGTAAATGTTTTGTGGCGAGAAATTCGCTTCGCTTTCTTTTTCGCTTAAAGTATTAACCGGCTTTAATAATCGTTGAAAGGCCCGAGAGTAAAGAGAGAAAACATGAACAATTCAAATGAAACGCGTCATGCATTGTTTTTGTCTCTTGATTTACGCTGATGACAACTGTGTTCCGGTGAATCTGAAAAGGTATTAGGCCTACAAAGGTTTAGCACAGAAAGAAAAATTAAACGCAGTAAAATCGCACTACCCGAAGATAGAAAAATCCATCAGGACAACTTCATGGATTCTTCCTCTTCCCTTTGACTACCAATTAGAAAAAGAGAAAAGTGCGTTATAAAGTGTGCCAAAAACACCACCTTTGCCACGGAAAGAATCAGAAGCATGACTGAAAAAGTTGAGAATTTCAGGTCTGAATTTTTTATCCCCGCCCCAACTGGACACGATTTTCTACCACCGTCCTCGCACTCACAAATTATGCATTAATGTTATATGAGGATGAAATGGTAATGATTAATGATATATTATTACCATATGAGTGATTGATGACAGTCTCCTTTCATTTTATCTAGAAGACAAAACAGACACGGGGAAATCGTTTATGGATGAGTTTTTTTAGTTGTACAGATGCCCCATTCAGTTCCCCATTACTGTTCAATTATTGTTTTAATCCTAAAAAAGAATTAAAAATAATTCCTGTAACCACCTTCTTACTCATTTACCTGACCTTGTCATAACCAGTATTATGTAGGCCTATGTTAATTTCAGCAAGCCACTGCTTAGATGTGAACATACTTTAACTTTGGCGGGTTTTGACTATGTACATGTAGTTCATAAAAATCACCCATTTTTACGTTCCCTACATGCAGTAATTTGTGCAACGCGATCTACGCGTCACATTTTACATCTTTCAATCCATGCTTTGGCAGGGCAGTGCCTGCACAACTTTCACAGGTAACTGTATCATAAATTCTTACCGATAGTTTCACTTCTTTATTTTGTAACCTCTAGAGATATTTTTTAGTTGTAAAGTACCTCACTTTTACAGCACGATATCATAGCCCAGTTTGATGGTACATTTGGGGAAAGCTGAGAACTTAAAGTGGTGATTTTTAAGGCATAATTTTGGTTGGTATCATAGTGGAAACTGGGCCTGGACAGCCCACATGTACTATGTAGTTATGTGCATGGCATTGCCATGAGCAATAGGTGTGTACACATACTGTTATGAAAATATATGTATGCGCACAAGCAGCACATTATGTTAGAGAATTTTATACATTGTAACAAGATGACATCGGCTGGGAGCTGCTCCGGTACTACCGGCTCCGAGCGTAACAAAAGAGGGCTTTTTGGGGGGGTACTCACTGCATAGACGCACCATGAGGCGGGTAAGTATATGCGCGTTTGACGCAGAGCACGCCGAGTACGCGTAACTAATTTACTCCGGAATGTATGGTTTTTGCGTACACGCCTGTCTGTCTTTCGCCAATTGGGGGTGCACTTCAGCTCGGGGCGGATGGTTCGGTGGTTCATTTTCTCTTCTCCTACCTCTGTCTTGGATATTGTACGTTTATTGGCCCAGAACGATCACATGTCAGGTCGACATATCCGCATATCACACTCACGGTGAGACATTTCATTCTACCGATGGTGCGTGCACGCATATACTCCTTACACACACATACTTGTGGGGATTTCCTTTTTTCTCGTATACAAAACTCCCACACAACACGCAAAAAATAAGGTGTAAGGTAAAGCAGAGATCGCCTACCAGACCATATAAATGTACTCACTGGCACCCGCACTAGTTTCACGGTAGAGTTTACGCAATTAACGAAAGTGAGGGGACAGTGCATTTGCAAAGGATATCGTTTACGTCTGTTAATTGTACAGTTTTACAGTGGGCCCACCGTCTTCTGAAAAACAGAGCTTGCTTCTTTTGATAAATTCCTGAAGATAGAGGCATGACAAAGCGATTGTTGACCGCTGTGGTATGGGATATGAAGTCCTGAACACCCTCGGGCACGCATAGCGCCTTCGGCTTTGCCTCGGGGCGTTATGCGCCCCTCGGGTGTTCAAGACGTCATATCCCACACCACAGCGGTCAACAACTGTTAATAACTATCTTGGTTAGGGCTACGTTTGGTGAAATGATAACGCATTACAAGTAGGCTGGGGACGGCGTGGTGCTGAAGGGGTGGGTTTTGTATGTGTGTGTGTGCGTCAGCCAGCGGCCGGGGTTGACTCACTGCTTACATGGGTGTGTGTGTCTTGTGCCTTTCATGTGCCATGTCGCCACCAAGCCTTGTCTATTAAGGAGATGGGAACAATTTATTAATGATTCACACGCAACTGGATGTACTAAATGTCTGGAGTCAACACCTTTAATCCCTGCTGTGATAAACTGATCAAAAGATACACGCAATATTTGAGTTGGAGGAACACCGATACACCAAAAGAAAGTAATACAATATATTTACGACCATAGTATCCAGAGTCCCAAAAGTAGCCGGGTTAAAAGATGAAGTTCAAGAGGGTAGAGAACAAAGTTACTTTTCATAAACTTGACATTAGGTCCTTCGTTAGACCGGATATTTCACTCCTTCTCCCTATAGTGAAACGTCCAAGTGACGTACATGTATTAACTGAACGTACATGTATTCCAATGTGCGTCAAAAGTGAATTGATTCCAAATGTTTTTTTTAATCAACTAGCAACTACTTCTTTTTTCTCAATTAACTCTACTTACATACATGTTTGATGACAGTCAAGTGCAAGGGTGGACTACCCTGAGTTAGAACAGACTGCAAAGAGGATTATTCTGTCTCCGCTGTGTGCAGCTGTAGCAACCTAGGTTCGCTAGTTATTTGTCCGGGTAGCCATAACGATCAGGCGGGTTTCTGATACGCAAAGGGTATTTTCTCTCGGGTATTGATCTGATTGTGACTCAGGCTCGGTTGAGGCTTGTTGTGCTGGAGGAATATTGGAAGTTGTAGCGTTTTCGGGCGGTTGAGGGTTGACTTCGGTCTCAGGTTGTCGTTCGGGGATTGGCACGGTAGTTCCCGTTCCAAAATCAACGTCACTGTCCAAATTTGGAGAGGCGCGAGCTGGTTCGACCCGACGTTTTTGATTGCGGATGTGGTCCAGGTGACGACGGATTTCACATCTGTTATGGTCAAGTCGGATCTTGTAGGACACCAGACCCGAGGTACCTGTGATGGTGCCAAACCGGTCTTCGTAAAGCTACGAACGGACATGATGTCACCAATCTGGGAAACGCTTGTCTTCGCACTATTGTCACGTTGCCGCTTTTGGTTTCTTGAGAGTGAATGACCCGCTTTGTAACATCAGTTCGAAGATGGTCGAGATGAGAACGTAGACGACGATCCATTAACATTTCCGTGGGAGACACTCCCGTAGCACTGTGCGGAGTGATCCTGTACTGAAGCAAGAATCTGAACACCTTGGTTTCAACTGTTCCTGTCTCCATTCGCTTTATGGCATGATTGAAGGTGCGCACAGCGCGTTTGGCCAGTCCGTTAGGGGCCGGGTGATAGGGAGATGTGCAAATGTGCAGGATACCATTCTTTGTTGAGATTCCGCGCTAGTGAATGCTGTTCCGTTGTCGGATACCACTTCATCCGGCAATCCATGGGTCACGAACGCCTGTCTCAGTTTCTCG